TTTTCAGCTGCTGAGAGCAAAATTCTTGAAAATTTACTGGCATTTATTATTACAAAAAGAACAACCAAAACAAAGGAAACTAATGAGCTGTTAAAGATTTATGAAAAAATGTAATATTTAAAGTAGATATCATCCCACTGCTATTTGACGGTTATGAATCTTCTTGTGAACTTTCATATTACCGGATTGAGTGAAATTTCTGTTACAAAATTCGCAGTTGTACGGCTTTTCACCAGTGTGTGATCGCATATGAATCCGATAATAGTCATTCCGAGAGAATCCTTTGCTGCACACGTTGCATCTGAACGGTCGCTCCCCCGTATGTATTCGCATATGTGCGATCAATGCGCTGTTGCTAACGCATTTTTGGAAACAAACGTTGCATTCGTAGGGCGATTCCGCGCTATGGAATCGCATATAGTGCTGACGTAAGGCGGAATTGCTTCCCAATTGTCTTCCACATTCCGGGCACTGGCACGAAATTCTTCCCTTGGCTGGTTCCGAAATCATCGATGCATTCTCGATCGCATAATTGATGGGAGATTGTACTCTTTGCATTTCGGCAAAACTACGGGAAGTTTCTGGGCCTTCCTGGAACTGACTAGCATTGTCTAGAATGTACGGCTGCCTTTTTGGAGGAATCGGAGTGTTCTTTGGCACTGATAAATCGAGCGGCTGATCCTGCAAAACTAATAGCAGTAGCAATAAACAGTATCGTTGCATGGTACTCCTGTGAAGTAAAAAAAGCACAAAAAAGACTGCCAATGTGTTGAACAAATAATCTAAATGGATATATCGAGTTGCGTGGGCAAAAGATTCAGTGTAATGAAGGAGCACCTGCCAGGCGCATTAACGATGAGTGTGAAAACGATAGTGAACGAGCAGCTAACCAAGGCATCAAAGTAAGTAAAAGAACGGCAATAAGCCCCATTCGAGAATGAGGCTCAAAATTTATTAAACCATCGTGTTGATGTGCTATAAAATTTGAGGATACCTGTTCAGCAGATCCAGCATACTGTTGTACTACCAGAGCCCCAGTCAAGCGATATTTTGCTCGAATAGCTTCCAAGGACCGACTTGGAACTGGCTGTAATTTCAAATCATTGAAAAAACGAAACACTGTAGCCTAAATGATGAAAATGTCCATACTCTTTGAGTTTCGTGGGAATGTAACGGCAGGATAAATACGGAGTTATTGATTTCAGCCGAAGGAACGTAAAATTTCAATTTGTCCAGTGAGTCGAATGTACTAAACCGCATTTCAAAAGAAAATCAATTGATTCTGGGGAAAAATGCTAAAAAAAACAGAAAAGGACCATGGCTTCTGTAAATTTTGTAAGATTTCTTGTACTTTTCCAGCTGATTTTTATATTCGTTATGTCGATATTACATTTCCACTCTATGCGATCGATTTCAGTGTCCCTTACTGGCTTGAAAAAGGAGTCTGGCATTCTAGATGCTTCAAAAAGAACATTTCGCAAGTCCTTTCTCAACTGCTACAGAAATAAAAAGATACCGTAAACTGCGCGATGCAAAAACGAATTGAAAGC